TGAGCCTATTTATCCCCCTACATTGTCACAAGCTTCCACCAACAATCCACTGGTGTAACCCAGAGCAAGGATTTCCCACCCCTGTGGAGTGAATCCAGGACCATTCCCTGGGAATTTACCTTCTCCTGAATGTTGGCTCCCAGTCGCCTCAGGGTCTCCTGGAAGTTTTTGTTGCGGGGTTCAAGGGTGGCACATTTCTGAGCATCTTTGAACGCTTGGTCCAACTTGCCCAGTTTTTCCAGGGCTTGGCTGCGCCGGTACAAGGCTTTAATATCCGAAGCATTGATGTCAATAGCTGGGGAAAAGATCCAAAACACCAGGCATCAGAGCTTGCTGCTTGGAACTGGCCTGTGCAAACTGTGATTTGCTTTGTTATTAGCATCAATCAGTGCCTGATTAGCACTGATTGTACCAGCACAGCAAATTGCTACAACGTCATTTGAACCTCCAGGAATTCTCTTGTGGCCTCAGCACTTGGGTGTTAGAGGACATCAAGGAATAAGGCCACAATGTCCCAAAAGAAGATGTCAGAGTGATGCCTAAATCCGGCTTACCTAAAACAGAGGCTGGACAAAATTCAGAGAATAAAAAGCAGTTCTATTTATTGAACGGCCTTCAGGCACATTCAGAGCAGTCCCAGCCCACCCAGGGGCTGCGCCCACAATGGACGATGGCTTATGGGTTTTTCACACTTTATAGATTTTGTCCATTTACACATGGGAGGGGGGGTGAATCCTCCAATTACAGCTTCAGGTAATGAATTCATTGACTCCAAGTTTGCTCCCCCCAATTCACTGTTGTTTGCATCTCTTGGGGCCTGGCACAGTGAGGTGTCCTTGAGTTTGGGGCCTGGAGAGGAATTGTTTTGTCTAAATTCAGAGAATAGTAGTTTAGCACTTGAGTCTGGAGTTATCCACTAAAGAATAACAGGATTACAGATACATGAAAAATATAAAAGCTAAAATCCTCTAAAGCATCAAGGGCAGGCTGAGCAAGTGTACCCAGCTTCCCTCAAAAAAGCCTCTTCCTTACCTCTAGATGCATCTGAGGCTGCCTTGGCATATTCCTCCTGTTAAACCAGGAAGGAGAGGTTTGTTAGCCATGGAATAGCAGGGCATGTCCCCATTTCTGATGGCCATTGGGATCTCTCTGTTCCCATTTCCCAACAGGACACCCCAGTGAAGCTCCAGCACAAGCCCAGAACATATAATTTCAGACCAGCTGGAAACACCCTATTCAATAAATGGACAAACCACCCAGTCCACAGCCAGTGAGTGCCCTTGGCTGCCTTCCTGCTCCTCTCCCCTTGAGCACTGCCCAGGTGAGGGGAGCTTTTCTCACCTTTTTGAGGAAACAGGCTGCCCTATTCCTGTACAGCACCGCCTGTAGTGTCTTATCCTTGTTCAGCTTTATGGCTTGAGAGTAGCTTTGAAGGGCTTTCTCGTAGTCACTGGCCTGAAAATATTTATTGCCCTCCTCTTTCAGCTGGATGGGATCCTCCATCTGGAGATCTTTGAAGGAAAAACATCAATTTGTGTTCCATTTTCAACTACCTGGGTTGCCTGCCTACTCCCCCAAGCTGAGTTCCACCATGAGACTGACAAATAATTAACACAAATTAATAAAAGAAGCTTACCAGGCTGAAGAGTTTTGAAAATGAAGACCTAAACTACTCTTCGAGGCTGTGGCTTCTCAGAAGCTTTTCCTCACCAGTGTAGATCCTTAGGAGTCAATTAATACAGGAAAGAAAAACAACAACAAGAAAAGGAATTAAAGAAATCTGCCAGCACTACAGAGAGTCGGTGCAGCTCAAGAAAGAGCTCACTTCCCACTCCAAGTTTGGGCAGGACCTGGCAGCTCCTGCTGCCTGTCAGTGTCACCTGTCACCACTGCCCGTCCCCTCCTCGTCCCCTCGTGCTTTATACGCCTGGGAGGGCTGGGAGCCAGGAACAGCTCAGGGGGGGGGCACCTGGCTGGAGCAGGCTGTGCCCCTGTGCAGCAAGAGGGAATCCTCTCCCACCTGCCAGGGCAAATCCCAGCTTCCCTCTGCCTGCAGAGCTGCACAGCGTGTGGGGAGCAGCAAGGGGGAGTTCATGCCAAAAAAGCCCATGGCTGGGATGGCTGACCCCTGTCACAGTGCTCAGACCCTTTTCCCATTCTATTTAAGGAAGCACGAGACAGCTGAGCCTTGGGGACAAGTGGCCCCAGGCCAGCAGCTGCAGCAGTGCCCAGCACCTTCCAGAATTCCCTGGGATGGAAAACTGACTGACACTCAGTGCTGCTGCCTCCTCCTTGCAGGGCCTTTGGGAGCCCTCCCACTGGAAATCCCAGCCATGCCTGGCACTGCCACCCACCCAACATGTGGTCATTCAGCAACACACGGACATGGACTAACACAGAGATGTGTACTGGAACATACTGGAACTGCTGTGATGGGTGGCTCAGTTTGAGTGACACCAGTGGACAGAGCAGTGCTGAACTCCAAGAGAACTGAGCCTTTCAATCCGCTCTGTTCCGCAGGAATCACAATCAGGAATTCTGCTTTGTGATTTATCTCCCTCAAACACAGGCCTTGCCTTCCCCAGTGTACCTGCAGCATCCCTGCTATGAGGCATAACAGGGAACTGGCAGAAGAATTTGGAAATACTGAGGAAAGCACAGACTGACCAAGACACTGACAGGAGGAAAAATATCATTGTCTTTAATGTCAAGGACAGCAGCTGTGGAAGGGGCAAGAGGTCTGCCTTGGACAGACTCGGTGCAGTGGTTTTTCTGGGATTCACGTGGATTGACACACCAGAAACCCCTTCCCACATGGCTTTAGGTACTGAGGAAGGCTCAACTGCCTTCATTTCAGTGCTCGTTGGATATAACACAGCCAGAACAAAGCCACATGGTCACAAGCGGCGGCACCGCAGGTGAACTGAGTTACAAATTCAAAGCGTGTTCGGTGCTGCTGATGCTAAGAGGGCAGGGCAGGCTCAGCAGCGAGTGCCGGGAGCCCTCTTCAGGCCTCGGCTGGGAAAGAAAAACAGAATAACAATAAATAACCCCCAAAAACAGCTTTTCCAGGAGAAATTCAAGCTCCCAAGGCAGTCACGTAGGGGCACATGGCTCCCCACACCTGTAGGGCAGCAAAGCCGCTCAGCCCTCCGTGCAYCTTCACTTTCCACCCTGCAGCATTGGCTGATGCGTCTGAACAAAGCCAGTACCGGGATTGTCACAGGATCCCGGCACKGTTTGGGTGGGAAGGGATCTTAGAGCTCCGCTGATCGCAGCGAGAGGCCGGGACAGGGAAAGGGGAGCGGGCTGGGACCGATGGGACGGGAAAGAGGAGCGGTCCCGGCCCTTTCCGCCGGTGGCAGGAAGCAGGAAGGGAGCGGGCAGGGGCCGCGGTGCCCCGGCCGCGGGGCTCCGGGTGTGGAGGGCGGTGGGTAACTCATTGTGGGGCTCTGCTGCAGGTGGCTCGGGAGGAGGGGTCCCTCTGCCCAGGGATAGGGTCCCCCTACCCGGGGATGGCGTTCCCCTGCCCAAGGATGGGGTCCCCCCAGCCCCCCGTGTTCCCCCACCCCAAGCAGCAGCCGCAGCGATGCCCCCGTGGCACGCCCCCCCTCCCCCCCCAGTAGGATTTTGGGCTCTTTGGCCCCAAAAGGGGATTAAACACCACCGTAATCACCCATCCCAAACACAGCTTGGGTGGCTTCTCCCAGCTCCTCCAGGGGCAGGCACTGTCCGTGGCTCAGTGCTGCGTTAAGGGATGGAGTTGATGATCTTAGATGTCTTTTCCAACCTTAATGATCCTATGAAATCCCTTCTCCCATCTTCTCTGCAGGTCTCTGCCCTTCTCCCTCCCCTGTGGCTGTGGACATGGTGGTCCTGCGGGCTGGGCTCTGCCCTGGTCTCACTGAAGAGATGATTCAGCTTCTGAGGGCCAATGGCATCAGGACGGGTAACGGGATGGCATTGGGGAACATCATCCCCTGTGTGTTTGGTGTACCRGTATCATCCCACATCCTGGGAGGATGATGATGTTGGAGTATCCTTCCATATCCTCCTTGCTGGATGTCCTCTCGGTCCCCCTGGGTGGATACAATGGGTCAGGACTTCTCCATAGGAGCAGGAGAGTTTAAGGACATGGTAGAGATCCCTGCAGAGGCTTATCGAGGATTGATCAATTATGGCTTTTTATGGTATTTCAGAAGGGTTTGTACAGTTTACCCTCTGAAAAATACCCAAGTCCTGTAAAGCTGCACCCTGGGCACCTCCTGCCCTTAGAGGGGAAGGAAAAGGTGGTGCTGGGCAGCTCTTGAGCAAAACAGAATTTATACCAGCTTCTCTCCCTGCTCTGTTTTTCAAGAAACAATTTGTTTTGTGATGGATGATGGGACCTTCTCAGAGGAGAAACTCTTCCACTCACAGTGTTGACAGCGGGCACTGATACTTTGCTTGTTGGTGGATGTTTTATCCAAGCTGTCTTCTGGTGTTTGTATTTGACCAGGCTTGGGTTCCAACCTCTTGTCCCTCATGTTATTTGCAGTGGTGGACTTTGTGTCTTCGGACCTGGAGGATGTTGCCAGGAAGTGCTCCCTGTCTTACAAGGTAAAAGGGATTGCTCCTAAGTCCTGGTCCATTAACCAGGAAGCTCAGAGCTGTTTGGCTCAAGGATGGCCTTGGCTGGGGGATATTCTGCAGCAGATGTTGGCCCTGGCCTTGCTCAGTCACATTTCCAGATGTGTCTTTGCCCCACAGGCGCTGGTTGCAGTCAGACGTGTTCTCTTGGCACAATTCTCTGCCTTCCCTGCCAATGGAGCAGATCTCTATGAGGAGCTCAAGAGCTCCACAGCCATCCTGCCCACTGGCAGCCCGAGGTGGGTACGTGGGTACCTCACCCCCCAGCTCTGCCCAGGGYTGGGCTCGCTGCACAAGGCTGTGGTTACCAACACAAGCTTTGAATTTCAGTCTCCAAACCATCCCCACACACTCCAGGGACAAACATCTGGGTATTGCAGCCTCCTGGTGCCATTCTGGCTGAAAGGGTGCTGATAATCCCACCTTGTCCTTGATAATCCCATCCTGTAGCCTGGACCAGCTGCTGGACTCGGGGCTGTACACGGGGGAGGTGACGGAGCTCATGGGGGCACCGGGCAGTGGCAAGACACAGGTGAGTGGGACAGAGGACAAGGGAGAGGACAGGTAAAGCGTAGATGGTGTCACAGGGACATGTGACACCCTGTCCCTGTTCCCCCAGGTGTGYCTGGGYATTGCAGCCAGYGTGTCTCTGGGCCTCAAGCAGCACGTCCTGTTTCTTGACTCCACGGGGGGTTTCACCGCCTCCCGTCTCTATCAGATGCTCAGAACCCAGACAGAGGATGAGGAAGAGCAGGCAAGTTCCCCTGGAGCTGCTCCCTCTGCTCTCTAAAACTCTCTTTGCTCTTGCCTGCTGAAAATCCCTGAGATGCTTTGTCCTTCCAACTCTGCCATGGGCTTTTTTGGGTCCAAGCCCTTCGTTCCATGGCCTGGTGGGTGCCATGCTCAGGATAGACACTGCTCTTGGTTGTTTTCCTTGGGAGAAGGGAGGGACTTCCTGGRGACCTCACTGAGCTCAATCCGTGTTCCTCCTTCCATGAGTGAAATAGGAAGAGTGGTTCTCATAGGRTGGAGGCAAATGTGGAAGAATAAGGGTCTCTGGCTCTGTGTCATGGTGGGAATGCAAAGAGCAGCTGGGGCAGGAGGAATGGGACAAATCCTGGGCAGAGTGAGGCTGTCACTGATGCCACTTTGTGCCACAGCTGGAGGCTCTGCAGCGGATCCAGGTGGTCCGTGTGTTCAACATCTATGAGCTGCTGAGTGCCCTGCAGGAGCTGCGGGATCGCCTCTCCCAGCAGGTAAGAGCGAGGTTCAGGGCCCCTCTGCCTTCCCCAGAGCTGCAGGGTTTTGTGTGCCTGACAGGTGCCTCCAGATTGCCTCATCCTGGGGGTGTTGAGGCCTCTGTGCAGCTCACAGCCTCCAAAAGTGCTGGATTTGTTACTCCATATCGCATGTGGTCCCTCCTTGCAGGTCGTGAGCTCTGTGGGACCTCTGAAAATGGTGGTGCTGGACTCGGTGTCRGCTGTGATTTACCCTCTGCTGGGAGGCAGGCAGTCAGAGGGTGAGTGCACCGTGTGTTCCAGGAGGCTGCTTCTCCTGAAGAGCTTCTCCCACCCTGGTGTGCTGTGCTTGGAGTCTGGGGCAGGGCAGATGTGGCTGTGACTGCTCCCAGCTCTTCCTTTGGGACTGGACCAAAGGGGAGTGTGTTTGCAGTGTTAGCTGCAAACCCATCCAGGGGAGGCACTGAACTCTTTATCCATAAATTAAAACCCCTCTCACTGTGTCACAGATACATCATGGCTGCTGGCACAGTTTGCAGAGCTCCTGAGGCTCTCTCTGTCACAAAGGACCATAAATCAGGAGTAAGGATACCAAGGAGGCCCCTCAAACACCTCCCAGAGGGTCCTGCACAGCTGGTGGCAGCCAGTGTTATCACAGGAGGTTCCCTCACAGCCGTGGGCTGTAGGAGATGAAGCTGTGATTTGGAGGAATGGGCCCTATACCTGCTAAATCAACCTGRCCAGCTTTGGGGCTCCTGATGCATTTGCAGCGTTTCTTGACCTTGGGGCTTTTACAACAGGAAAGGATGGGGAATGATCCAGTAAAGATGTCCATGAACATGAGCATTGGCACTAAACCCAGTGCACATACAAATGCAGATGTCAGCTGCTTCCAAGATTCACTTTGGCAGCTGATCCCCTGACAGCCAAATGCTTTGTCCCGCTCCAGGTTTGGCCCTCATGATGCAGCTCTCCAAGGAGCTGAAGACCCTGGCCAGGGAGTTCAGCCTTGCTGTTGTGGTGAGTGTTGCTGCACTTTGTCCCTCTTGTGCTGGTGTGTGCTGTGTCAAGGAGCCATGTGGAGGCTCTGGAGCCCCTGGGAGAGGGGAGCCCACTCCCAGCTAAGCAAGAGCCAGAGGCCTGAACCCCACTGACGCCTGAATCCAGGCTTACCTAAAACAGAGGCTGGACAAAATCAAGACAATAAAAAGCAGCTCTGTTTATTGCAGGGCCTTCAGGGCCATTCAGGGCAGTCCCAACCCACCCAGGGGCTGCACCCACAATGGACTATGGTTCATGGGTTTTTCACCCTTTATCAGTTTTGTCCATTTTGAGGCTGAATCCTCCAGTTTYAGCTGCAGCCAAAGAAGTTATTGACTACAAGTTGGCTCCCCCCAATTCTCTGTTGTTTTCATCTCTTGGGACCTGGCACAGTGAGGTGTCCTTGAGTTTGGGGCCTGCAGAGAAATTGTTTTGTCTAAAGTGGGAGAGCAGGAGCTCAGCACTGTCTGTGGAGTCTGGAGTTATCAACTAAAGAATTACAGGATTGCAGATAATGTGGAAAATAGAGCAACTAAAATCCTAAGGCATCACCACAGTGCCCTGCTCCCTGACTTCTCTGCAGATGTCCTGTTCCAAGCATGGAGCAAGACTTGGGCTCATGTGCTGTGTGCTGCCTCCTGTTCTTGCTGTCCTCAGCCAACACAGCATTCACTGGACTGAGCAAGGCAGAGTTAAGCACAGGGAGACTGMAAGGCTAGCTGTGTTTATTTTTGATATAACACCGTTCATTTAAGGGGCTGGCCAGCTTCCTGGGTCACCTCTGAGTCACCTTGCAGGAGCTGCAGGGCATTGCATCATCCCAAGGGAGCTGGAAGGGGTCCTCTCTCACCTTTCCCAGCCCTTGGACAAGCAATTGCATTTGTCAGTGCACCCAGACAGGTTGGTGGGACCACARTTGATGTGTCTGAACAGAGATGGCCACAACAGAAGCTGATGGTCTGCTGAGCATGGCACTGGAAAGAATTGAGACAGTCCTGCCCTTCATTCTGATAGMGTGACAAGGACAGCGTGTCTGGAGGGACACTTGGAAGCTCCAAGTTAAATTTTGTGGTGCCTTCAGCACCAACAGTGATGCAGCTTGCACRTAGGAATGAGCTCCCTGAGTACCTGACTGGGACAAGGGGATGGCAGAGGAGCTGAGGGAGGGCTCAGGATGGAGAAGGAAAAACCTTCCTGGAAGCATCAGCCTGGCCAGGATTTCTTGGTGACCCCCAGTGTTTCATTCCACCGAGTGTCACTGCATTTCCAGGCACTGCTAGGTCTGTTTGTGCTGCAGGTGACCAACCAGGTGACCAGGGATGGCAGCACTGGCCCACTGAAGCCAGCCCTTGGCCGCTCCTGGAGTTTCGTGCCCAGCACCCGGGTGCTGCTGGAGAGCAGAGAAGCCCCCTGGGRGAAAGCCACCACACAGCGTGTGGCTTCCCTGGCAAAGTCACCCCGGCAGGTGAGGCTCCCTGGATCCATCCCTTGGGAACRCAGCAGCAGCAGCATGGTGGGCCATGGCAGTGGGAGAGGAGTTCATGCAGCCTGGCTGGATGCTGCAGAAGAGGAGAGAATCTGTTCCCAACAGCCTGGGCTTGCATTTGTAGGCAGGATAAATGAGTGGCAGCACTGGCAATGCAGGTCGCTGTGTTCTGATGTTGGTCTCACTCTCCTGATGGTGTGTGGGCAGTGAGGATTCCCACAGAAGTGGTTCTGACACCTTCAAAGGTGACTTCAGCTTGAATCCTGCCTGTGCACAGCCAGCACTGCCTGAGTCTCCTGGCTCTGAGTCTCCTGGCTGTGAGCCTGCTCTGCTGCTCGATCCAAACAAATTTGGGTATGGTTGGTGGTGTGTTGGGCAGTGAAATGCATCCTGGGTGTGCTAAATAATGATGTGCCTGGGGATGTCTCAGAGYAAGGGTTCTTTGCTAAATTTCATTGTCTATTTGTATCCCTGCGCTCAGCAGACCCACTTAAAACGGGCACCAGCAGAAAGAAAGCCTTAGGGGCATGGAGCTGGGATTTTTGGCTCTGAGGCAGGTGATGGAGTGATGCAGAGTCCAAGCAGTGTGAGATTCAGCTTTGCTCTGTTCCTTCTTGCAGCCAACAGGGGTACAGGTGGARCTGGACATTGGAAATGGGGACGTGTTGGAGCCGAGCACGGTGACACCCACACAGGGACTTTGATGGGATGGAAAAGCAAATGTCATGAGGTCCAAGAGAGCTGCACAAAAGCAGGCAAGCACCAAAGGTTTTACAGACTGACTCCTGCAGCCCCGGGAAGGACCAAGATTAAAAATTTCATGTTCTTCTGCCCTGTGGGAAAACAGAGCAGGGGGTTCCCCGGAGATCTCCGTGCCCAGCAGATGCTGCTTGTCCTCACTCCCCAGAGCCAGCCCTGTCCTCAGGTGTTGTTTGGGACCAGCTGCTTTGTCCCTGCACAAATCCACAACTCCCTGTGGTGGTTTTGTTCCCCCCATGGTTTGCTGCCCTCTGCTCCTGGAGCTCTGCTCATCCTTGGGCCCAGGGTAGGCTTGGCTCAGAAATAAAAGAAAAAAGCTGTTTCACATTGCTGTGGTTGTTGAGAGCTGGAATTCAATTAATGACRGCTGCTCYGAAYTTAATTAAAATGTTGAGCTTTAGTGCCCAGCAGGACTGGGGTGGGACAGGCTGCTGATGAGCAGGGACATAATCAGATGCTTGATCTTCCCTTYTCCCCAGAGTATCACCAGGCCTGTGGGWACCTGCTGGTGTYTTTGGGGCACAGCTGGGCTGTGTAMAGGCTTGCTGATAAGTGATGGAGGTTCTGATCTRGATCAGCTGGGGCAGATGGGTCCTGGCTGGCACCAGCTGGCCCTGCTTGATGCTCAAGGACCTATTCAATTGCATGTGGTGATGTTTAAAATAATCTCTCCGTGCTCTACTGCTTTCCAGCTGCTCTTGGCAGCCTCCTGAGGAGAGAGGAGGCTGGGATGTGGTGTTTCCTCTTGATCCCAGATGCCTTAGACACCCTCAGCATAATAAGAGACCTCCTTGGCAGGTGAGGTGAGGCTAAAGCTTGCACTTTAGGGCTGCTGGGGTAGAATTGGGGGCTGGGACTGATTAGGGCATGCTTGTTAAACTAATAACACAGCAGCACAGYTCCTGGAGCCCTCTGTGGCTGTGCTTGGCACATTAAATATGTAATATTTACTGAAAACTTTAAAAATTGTGYATTTATTTGCATTTCTGGGCTCTTCAAGTCCAAGAGGGGAGGTTTGGCCCCAGGGATTGCAGCCTGGTTGACTGGGCTGAGGAGGAGGATGGTTTTCCTGTCTGATGGAGACCTGTGCTGACGTGGCTGGCACTTACAAGCAGGAATTTACCTTATTAACTAAGATCTTGTTAGTTAATTACCTGCTAGGTCCTCTCTTGGAGCTGTGGATATAGAGCTGCTACCCACAAATTTCAATTACTAATTTCTCTGCCTGAGGTTCTGTAGAGGAAGCAAAGCTCATGTGGGGGAGTGTAGAGCAGGAAAGAGCCAAATAGAAACCTCTGGGGTTATATTTGAACCAAGAGAACTTTCCAGATGTTTCCTTCCCCTAACCAGCAGGATGAGAAGAGGAACAACCCACTTTGAACCCTCATTAGGCTCAGCATGAGACCAGCCATGTATGCATCTTCCCTGTGATCCCTGAGGAATGACAGAAGAAATTCCACTCTTGCTCTCAGCCACCAGGGAGTCACGGGGTTGGTGATTCAACAGGGGCACTGCCAGTCTGTCAGGAAAGGTGATGCTGTGAAGYCTGTGCTCCTCCAAAGCCTCCCATCCCAGCTTTCATTGGCACAGTTGTGACTGGGGGGATTTTCTCCCTTGGCAATCAGTTAATTGCATCTGTGGCAGTCTTACACCCTTTTGGGAAACATCTGGTTTAGTTGGGGAGGGTGGTGTGATTTGAGGCCTGGCTGGGTTTGTGTGGCAGCTCCTCAGCTCCCAGGTGTGCTCTGAGGTCACAGGGATGGCCTGAATTTCTGGCTGTGTMGCTGCAGGGAAGGTGTCACTGTGGSTGCTGGTGATTGCACCGTGTGGGGGCAGCAGGAGGGTTCAGGTCATGGGAATCTATTACCCYGGCTGGAAAAACTCGACCTCCTACTCAAGCTCATTTACCTCAAATTTGCATAGTAAAATCAGGCTTAAGGTTTCTGACCTAAATATCCTCACTCTGCTTTTTCCCTCCATGCTCAGACTGGCACTCCTGTAGCCCCGCAAAGCCAAGCTCAGGATGTTCCTTCTCCCTGCCTCTTCCCCGTGCCCAAAACAACTGGAAAACTGCTGGAAAGGCTTGGAGCAGGGCAATGAAACCCATTCCAGGGCAGACAGGGATGCTCCCACTCCAAGCAGCAGGGATGCCTTTTGGCACTAAGAGTTTATTTGCCCTTGATATGTAAAAAATACACATCTAAGTGTGTGTTTACATGCATTGTGTGCATATATGTGTGTGTATATATGTGTAGGGATGTGTGTCTGTGACTGTGTCCACCTGGCTGCRTGTCTGTCCCTGCATGGCTATATCTTGGGATGAGAGGACAGGCATTTCAAGCTCTGCCAGGGGAGGTTCAGGTTAGACATTAAGAAGAAGAAAGGGTGATTAAACAGGGACGTGGGCTGCTCAGGGAGGTGGTGGAGTCACAAGATATGGAGGYGTTCAAGGAAAAACTGGACATGGCACTCAGTCTGGTTGATGAGGTGTTTTGCATCCTGATTGATTCTGTGACATGTCGGTGTATGTTTACAATGCTAAATAACCCCCTGCACACCAAGGAACACCCCCAGCGCACAGGGGACTCCACCGTGTCCCCTCTTTTTCCCACCTGCCCGGGGCGGGTCTCGAACCCGCGCTCTTCGGAACCGCCGCGGGCGGCGCTGCTCTCCCGTCCCSCTGGGGRCGCTGTTGAGTCCTCCSCGCCGCCAGGGGGCGGTGCTGCCCCGCCCGGCGCCCCTGGGGCCGCTCCGGCCGCCCGGCCCCGCGGGCAGTTGCCATAGCGCCGCCGCCGCCGAGCGCAGGCACTGGGACGGGACCGCCCGCTCCAGGCCTGCCGGTCCCGCCGCCACCCGGGACGCGGCTCCTCAGGGGGAAGGTGAGGCGGTTGGGGCGCTGCCGGTGTTGGAGCGGCTGTCGGGGCTTGGGGCTATGAGGGGGCTGCCAGGCTGGAGGGGTGTAGGGCGCTGAGGGGGCTGCCAGGTGKGAGGGTGTGTGTGGGGGTGTGAGGCCCCGGGGGAGCTGACAGAGTTTGGGGGTGTGGGGTACGGAGGCTGCCAGTTTTGGGGAGTGTTGGGAGTGTGTGAAGCTTCGGGGAGGCTGGCAGGGTTTTGGGGGGTGGAGCATTGAGGGAGCTGCCAGGTTTGGGGGTGTGGAGCATTGGGGTACTGAAGGGGCTGGCCGGTTTGGGGACGTGTATGAGGCTTTGGAAGCGCTGCCAGGATTTGGGGGGTGTCTGAGGCTTTCGGAGAGGCTGCCAGGGTTTGGGGTTGTGGGGCAGTGAGGGTGCTGCCGGGGTTTTTGTGTGAGGGGCAATGGGGCTGCCAAGGTAGAGCGGATGGGGTAAGGGGGGCCAGGTAAATGAGGCCGTGGAGTTGTCACTGAGGGTTATCCAGAGTCTGTGGGGTGAGGGAATGGCTCTGGATTGGAGWGTTGGCAAGTGTGGGGTTGCACAGGGCAGGAGGGGCTGCCAGGACTTGGTGGATGCAAGACTGGGGGAATGGGGCTGCTCAGATGGGGGCAGGTGGGGGTGGGCAGGGGCAGATGCCACACGTGGGTTTAGTTTTGGGGAAATAGGGTCATGGGGCTCCCTCACAGGATTTCTCTGATGGGGGGAGTGAGACTCTGGTGCAACTTCTCTTTCCTTGTTTAAAAAGTGGCAATGAACAACTGTTCCATCTCCGAGTTCTGCTCCCAGAGGCACTCTAGGGTTCAGTAGGTTATTCTGTTCAAATTGCTGTGAGAGCTGAGGAATTCTGGATAAGCACYAGCCTTCTGTAGGGCTCTCTGCTTAAATTATTGTCTCTGTGCATTTTAGTATGTCCAAAGTGTAATTTGGTGCCAAGGACCCAAGTTATTTCCTTCTCTGCTCAAAACTGGGGGTGTGGGGCAAAGCGAAAGCTTCCTTTGCTACAGAAAGCAAAAGTTGTTCAGCAAATAAAAGCACTCAAGTGTSCTTCCGAGCAGTTTGTTCCTGTAAGCAGGTCAAGGTGTTTCCCGTGGGGAAAGTATTGACTCATCCTCCGGTTTCTTAGCAGTTATTTCAGGGTCTGCAGGTTAATAAGTGTCAGCTCTGCAGTGAGAACCAGGTCCTGTCTGAGTCTTCTGAGAACAAAAGGCTGAACATGGACAGGCTCAGTGTTTGACCCTGTGATCACAAACCAGCTGAACTCCAGACAAAACTCACTCCAAAACCTWACGTGTTTTCCAACACTGCAAGGRCAGCTAGGCRTGCTTAGTCAAGTGTAACATTAAAGGCAGATAGGAATAGTTTAACTTTATGCTTCTTGGATTAAGCTGTGCTCAGGGTAATGTTTAATTGGCTGAGATGGAAGGGTTTTATTTCTGTCTTTTCATTCGAGCTCGCTTCCTCTTCTCTGACACAGCGTGTCTTCCGTGGGGAGCACGGGACATAACCTTGGATGTTGGTTTGGRAGAATTGTTTCACAGCAGTGCAGGGACTTGTGGCAGTTTTCTGTTCTTTTAACCTCATTATGGAATTGGTGAAGAATTTAGTGGTTCTACAAAAAGCTWTTTTAGCTTGCTGTATCATTAGGATGGGAAATGACAGGTGCATTATAAGTTGGCATTTTGTTGTGTTTACGCTGTGGTGGGTTGCATTTCAACACTYTGAAGCTCTGATTTTAAGATAGATGATCATTAAGGCATAGATCTGATTGCATAAACAAAAAGAGTTTTAACCCTTTGTCACCTCATTTTTTCAGAGCTGAGAAGTGGAGCAGGAAGCTGTGAGCTTTAAATGTTTCTTATAAATTTCAGGTTCTTGGGTCTACCTACCTCCCCCCATCACATACTGAATCTCCTTAACACATTTGTGCCCACGATGGTGGGGAGGGGGATCTTGTAGTCATTCTCTGTTTTTGGTGGTCTAACTGGGTCTAATGAACCAAAACAATCAACTTTGGCTGCTGTGTTTCCCATTCTGGACTGGTGATCCTGCTGGAGCACTCTGTGGCTGCACATCCACTCAGCTGTAGCAACTGACCTTTTAATTAAAGGCTGATTGCCTTGACAGTGGTGTTCATGGGTTAATGCTTAATTGCTCAAGTTTTTGCTGAATTGGATTAGTTTTAAAGCCATCATTTAAGCATTGTGTTTAATTGTAGGGTAGAAAAAGCAGGTGAAGCTCAGTCTTTTTCATTGTGAGGTACCATGTGATTTGGCTCCTAAAATGAGAGCTGGTTGCCATACTTTGCACCGAGAGTACAAAGGAATAATATATATGGATTTTTTGGGAGATTGTTGGTCACTAGCTGAGTTTATGACTGAGATCTGTCTTCTTCGCATCATCAGTTTTCTCTTTATTGTTGTTGACTTTAGTGTGGGTTTGTGTTGTTTTGTTTGTTTGTTAAATGGTGTCATTTTYACTTGTGCAACTTTGCACCCACAGTTTGTTGTTAATACCAGCTGAGGTTGTAAACTCTTCAATCARGCTGGAGCAGGAGCTGAGCTGAGCTGCCAGTGCTGTTATTAAACCTGTAGTTTGGACTTTGATCCAGTTTTTGCCTGGAAGGGTGGGAGCAGATTTGCATGGTGTGCTCTGTGTGCCTGCCTCTCCTCTGGCTCTCCTCGGCCAGGACAGAGGGGGCAGTGGAGCTGGGCAGGTTGTCTGACCCAGCATTGCAGTTTGTGTCTTCTGGTCAGGCCAGGTAAAATGCCCTCCTCACCTAGGGTGTGTTGGTTTCACTGTAATACATGTAGGAAAAATTGTGTTTAATTAGGGTTAGGTTATTTTCACATCCCTTAAGAGTGTGTTTTCATAGGATGTAGAATCAGAATGGACTGGGTTGGAAGGACCTAGTTCTAATTAAAGATCCCCTGGCTCCATCTCTTCTCTAAGCCCTCTAAGCCTTCTGACCAGTCCCGAGGGATACAGAGCCTGATCAGAAAATAAGAAATCAGGAAGTACATTGAACCAAGTACTTGTTCTTAACGAAACACATTGTGGGCAGAAGGGTAATGTGAGATGCAAAAAAATGTGCACACGTGTCCCATTTTTGGACACAGCTGTGTGTGACCTGCTGCTGAGCAGGGAGAGAGGGCCTCTGGGTACCTGCTAGTTAAAAGAAGGGAAATTGGTTATTCTCTCTAATCTGAGCTCTGACTACAGGCATAACCTGGCTTTAAATTACCTGGATATTTCTGGCATTTTGGGGTGGGCTGGAAGCTTGATTGAGCTCTCAGAAAAGTACAGCCAAAGCCCTGGTGAGTTCTGTGACACTGCTGTTCACTGCCTGTGCTTTGTGCTCTGCACTTCCATGTATTTACCTGATGCAAATGTTTCCCCAGCCCTCCTGGACTGCCCACTCCAAAATCCCAGCCTGACTCCTACTCCCAAAGTAATTCCAGTCATTAGCTTTGACAATTCCTCTCTGTGGTTTCCCCTCAAACCTGTTTCCCTGMCCTTCCCAGGCACTGTCCTTACAAGAAGCCAGGAGTTGGTAGTGTGAACTTCCCTCAGCTGGAATTCAGGGAGCAGAAAATGCTTTGCAAAGGTGAATAAGTGGAATCTCTGTTTCACAGATGGGGAGAATCCAGTCACTGCTGGGCTGATGTCAGGACCAGGACTCACCTGCAAAGGTTCCTAATCCCCTGCTGGTATGTGCCTCCAAAGTTGATTATTTAGTCTTCAAACAATGTTACAAGGTTAAAAAATGACCGTCTTCTTTAAGAAAACAATATCACTGTCAGATCAAGAATTCAAATTTCATAGTAGTTTTCCCYTTCTTTCTCAGCTGGTTTCCTCAGGGCTGAAAAGGCTCATTCTAACTTCTGAAAGGCCTTTTTGGCTTGTTAAATTTATGGTCCCATAAGGGACTTTCTTTAGAAAGATTTGTTGTTTTCTGAGATGCTGTTAATTCCTCTCAGTGTCTGCAAATTCTACAGCTTCTTCACATTAATTGCTCTTGAGGTTTTCAGTTTACTCAAAAATATTAATCAGGCTTCTTTATCTGATGCCCTCTGGTTCCTCTGCCAAATGGTCTCAAAATAGGAATTTCCACATTTTATTTCAGTGGAGGCTAAAATATTTGTTAAACATCAGTTTTTTTTTAATGCTGCCGCCTTTTTATTTATATTCAGAAGGTTGTGGGATGTGCTGATAAGAATATACTTAAGCATATGCTTTGAATCTTTTAGTTTAGGCTGATGTTAAGTGAGATTCTAAACTCATTAAATGTATTTAAATTTAAAATACTCTCTTTTGGGAGCAGCTTGTTGCGTGGTAACCTCTGCTGCAGAAGGTTCCTTTGGGCATTATATATTCTATATATACACATGGATAATTTCAAATTGGAGTGTCGTAAGTGGCATCATTGAATCCACAGCACTTGAGCTTTTATTGGTTTGGCTTTTTCCCAAATGAGTCAGGAACTGCATCCCACAGAATTCCAGACTGAAACTCACGTTATGCTACTTTTTATTGATGTCAAAATACCTTGCTCAGAAAAAAATGACTGCAGGCACCAGTGGATGGCTCCCAGGTGTCCTTCACCCAGARATTTGGCTTGCTGGAGTCACTCAGCTGAGTAATTCCTGTGTTTGAGGTCATCCTCCATGAGRCTGCATCATGCATTGATAAGTTTGCTTCCTTGAAAGTGTTGRTGTTTCCTAGGACTTTGTCTGAGCCATGATTACTTGGAAAACTGCAGAAAGGAGAGCTGTCCCTGGGCAGGGAAGGTGATAAGCAGCAGGTCTGTGCTCTGTTGTAGTTTGTGTTAAAATAACATGGCCAGGATGGAACCACAACTGGTATTGCAGCTCTGAGGCAGTGAGGAGTTTCTTCTCTGTGGGATTGCCTTTGAATTTGTTTTACATGTATCTTAAAAAGGAGCTTTTATTAATATCCTGGAATAGATTTTTTGTAGACACTTGAATTTGATAATCTGGAGGACAAACGGGCCTCTGGGTTCCCAAACAGTTTTAAAAGTGGMAAAATAATGGTTAAAAGAAGGGAAATCTCTATTTAGATTAACAAAATAACTTTTCTTATTGAAACCATGAACCTCTTCCTATATATGTGCCCAGCAGTCTGGGCTAGCAGCAGAGACGGATAGAATGTCAAGCTTKATAGATTGTTGGAGCTGGTTTTTGGTAGTTAAACAATAATGGAGCTGTTGTGTGCTCGCAGGGAAACACTGAGCTCTGTGTGCGGACTTCAGCCCAGAGAAAGTTCCAATTGTTCYGCAGAAGGGCGAGTTCTAAAATGCAGCATCTGTGGCTGGTGGCACAGCTGGCCAGATCCCTGGCTGTCTTGAGGCCGTTGCACAAGCATTGCAGGAGAGTTTGGAAACAGTTTATTTTTCAGATTCCAAGTAAAGCTTAGATTTCCAAGTCCCCTTTGACTGTATAATCCAAAAAGTAKAAATTGAAGCTGTTTTTTATGTAGGGGCTGTTCCATGCTCTCAGAGCTCAGGGCCCGGGTTCCTGCCAGTCAGGCAGAGGCTGATATTGCATAATCCATCCCTTATGTTTCTCAGATGSAGAGGCTTATCAGTTGTTGCAGGGGATCATGGAGCTCCTTGTCAGCTCAGCCAAACCTGGTGTGTCACTGTGCATCTTCTTGTGCAGAGGGCTCTGGGTAGGAGGAGTGAGACCTTTTTATGCAGAAGAGAAACAAGAGGGAGCTGAAGCATGAATTTAATAAAACAAAGCCCAAACTGTCCCCCTCCTTTTTGGCAAACTACTTTCTATTCCTGCTTTTATTTATACTATTTGTTACTCGCTCCTCTGACTGGAATACAAATCACAGATAGATTTTTGCAATGAAAGTACCCAAGTCAGGAATGTCACTCTGAGTGAAGGAATTCCTGGAAAGAATTGAAATACGTTGTTCAGCTCTGTGCTGGGCTTCAGGAGCTACTTGGAATGCCTACAAGGTGTGTACCAAGAGTGCAGCTGGAATTCCAAGCACCTGTAAATGACTGCTTGTGTATGGCAAAATAACACTTAGAAACAATGTGTTTGAAGCATTTCTATTTATCTACTGGCGCCTGCCTTCAGAGACACTTTAAATCTGCAAATAAYCTTATCTGATCACCCTGAACGGTGCTGATACCATCTCTGAACGCTGCCAGAGTGGGTGAAAACCTATTTCAGGGTTTAAACTGTGTGTTTTAGAGGTACGACACAACACATTTAATACAGTTTTGCCATTTTGGTCCCTTGGAACCCTTAACATTGCATGATTTCAGTTTGTTCAGCTCTTGCTGCGTTAGAGGCCATTTATATCAGGTTTTCAAACAATGTGTTCAACTGCATATAATGAAGCCTTTTCATACAACAGAATGTAGGCCAGAGCCCAGCCTGGTTCATGAAAGGCTTTACTTTGTCTAAGGGAAGTAAGATGATCGTTCTTGGAATGAGGCCTGTCTCCCTCAGTGCTGCTCTRCCCAAAGCCAAAGTCACTTGCTAAGACATTGTTCTGGAGGCCTGAGCTTGCTTTTTTACTTCTGGATGTGGCTCTTAATAATGTGAGCTAAAGCTTTGGTTGCTCTGGTAGGAATAAGAGATGCAGGCTTGACATTAAATCTAATATGTGGTGGTATTTCCTAAAAATTCCCCTGATTGAAAGTGTGAAGAAAAGGGTATGAGCTATTACTCTCCACTGTCCTTGACTGATCAGCCTTAATCCTTGATTATGGAGGAAATAGTCTAAACATATTAACCAAACCTTCTAAACTGCTAAATAAAAGAGTTTTTTAACAACATGCACAAAATATTTGAAATCTAAAATCCTTGATGTTCTCTTAACCAGCAGTTTGATAGCGTGCTGCCTCCTTCACACCTTATCTTGTCTCAAGTCCCAGAAATGTTTGTATTTTTGGTTTATTTGTTTTGTGGTGTTTTTTATTAACAGGGCTACATTTGTCGGTAACRCTTTTATTTTCAAGTTGAAATGCCTCTTTAAGTAAAAATAAGCTTTTGGAGCAATATTTTATTCTGCATGTTAGCCATAATTTTTGTTGTGAACTGGGAAAGTGTTCAAACACAAAAAACCCCAACTGGACTTGCATTGTCTCTTGCATTTGACTCAAACATGAATTTGGCCTTGAAATCATCTTGTTTTGTCCATTTTTTTTAATGTGGTTTGTTTCAATACAAAATTGTTAGAATGCTCTGCAGAAGTGCAAGGAGGTTGTTCACTCTCAGCATTTCTTCCCATAAGTGCCTCACTTTGATCTGTGTAGTTCTCTGAAAGTATTTAATGCCATTATGAATACAGTACTGCTTTAAAGAAATGAAATATTAACTTGATTCATTCCCTGATGGGGCATTACCTTTATTTTGCTTATGGAAAACTAAAGYGGTCCAGACTCACAGAGCGTCTGTAACAGAGTTGGAAACTGAAACCAAAAATCCTCACCCTGAATTGTCCCATATAATTTATTCCATTATTAACCTGAAAATAATTACCCAATGATATTTCTTGAAATTTAGATTTGTTTTAAATAAGAGTATCTGGCATCTGGTTTTGTTTGTGTAGCCAAAAATGGGTCAGTTTCTGCTGAACTATTGAACTGAGAAAAGTAAAGTTCAAAAGAGAAGAAAGGTCAYGTTGATGTTATCAGGCCAGTGGTGGAAAAGATTGTGTCACAGGGAACTTCTTACTGGCAGCAGTTGTGTCTGCTTGTGCTGAAATACCAGATAAGTTGTTGGTTTGGAATCTGGGGACCGAAGTGAAGATGTTTTGAGGTTTTATTTAAAAAATAAGTGTTCTCTGTTGTTAAAGGGGTATATGAAAGTAGAAGACAGTTTAATAGCTGTTCCCATCTTCATGATAGTTAATCTGGTTTTATTTTTCATGCCCCAGCACCAGGGTTTAGTCTAATATGAAAATCTTGTCTGTCATTTTATGATGCAAAAAGCCACCAGAATAGGGAAAAAAAAAGCTCCTCAGTTACAGAGAAGCAAAATGAAAATGTGAGGGTGTCTGTGTACTGCAAGGTTTGACAAAAAAGCCCCAACCAAAGGTGAACTTAAAAAAAAAAAAAACAAAACAAAACAACCAAAATGAAGTAGATTTATTGGTTTATAAACCTCAGTGATTTCTGGAGCACTGACTCAYGATGTGCGAATGTCTGGGCTTGCCAAAAGCCTGCACTGAAATGTGACCCTGTCGGCTTGGGCCATATATGGGAAATTTCCCCTCTGTGACAAAGGTAAGGAATCCAGGAGATGCAGGTCCCTGTCTGAAGCTTTCCTTACCTCCTGCCCYCTCAGTCTTTTGTAAAAATACATTCTCTGTAGGCTGGATCCCACTGTGATTCCATGTTCAGCACTTTCTGTTTGTTCCCATGAATTGGGCGGGTTTAGGTGAGTTCTGCCATCAAAGGATGCTCATCCTGCCTCTGTTGGTGCTTCACACAAGGGATTAAAAGGCTTGACAAAGAACTTGAATGTTCTGCCATAATATATGTGTAGAAATGTGGCAATAAAGGAGAATACTTTTTTTTGAAATCATGGCTTTAGTTCCCAGAGAGAATTGTTTACTTGAATGGTTTGTACTGGACATGTAGGTGAGTTCTTTGCAGAAACTCCTTGGGATGTGCCCCCTCAACTCTGTACCCAAAACCATGGGACCAGATGGCTGTTTG